CTGCCTTCTCATTTTCTGCTGTTGGGCTCGTTTCTGTCCCCCCCCCCCCTGACTGACCACCACTCAGGGCCCATGTATGACCAGTCAAACAGTTATTCCCATCTAACACAATTACAGTGACTCAAATCTCCAGCCAACCCAAATCTGCTCTGTGCTCGGTGGGACAGGAACCCACTTCTTAAGGAGCAGATTTTATGAGTGCCTTCACTCTGGGTTTATTATGAAGTTTTTCATTTTTTTTTTCATTCTCTCTCTTGTTGGTTTTTTTCTGCACTCTCACATTTTCCAAGTCTTCTTCCCTCCATTTATCTTCAGCTCTCCTTTCAGTCCTCACTGACTTCCTCTCTCTCCCTCTCTCTCAGCCGCACTTCTTTTTCGCTCCTTCCTCTTGGCCTTGAAAAATCTTCATTCTCTCAGATCTCTGTGACTTTCCGCTCGTGTTCCAATATTGAAACGAACTGCGCTAATAAGTCATAAAGTCAGCTCGAGCACTATATGGAACTTAGTCTGGTTCTGGACACACGCAACAGGAGAACATTAGCTGCCTGACTTTGTCTTCTCCTCTGGAACAGAGCACTTCATCTTATGAAGGGAGTACATGTTCGTTTGTGTTTCAGACAGAGGCTGTATAGAGGAGCTGCAGCAATGGACAGTTAGAGGAAAGTGATAACCCAAATTTTAGTTATGAACCTGCATATGTCTCCTTCAAGAAAGATTCAAAAAGCAAATAATTACCATTCCTGAATTTTCTTCACTGACTGTATCTCTCACCTCTTTAAGGAAGAAATAGTATATGACATGTTTGCTGCATTGTGAAACTGGTGAGTTTCCTGTTCTCCCTGATAACCTCTGATTTAGGTCAGTTCTCCAGCTAATAGGGATGAAAGAGGACCTTGGGAGAGGCCCTAATAACAGAGCAGGAGAACTCATACATCAGCCTCACTCACCACACCAACCACCCTGGCTCCAAACACAGCCCCCAGACCATATAACAGCACATTAGATGCTATGCACAACCGCTCAGATTGAACATTTCTGATTCGGTTTTGTTTTTGCCCTCTGAGGCCTCCCCTCTTTCTCTCTTTCCTCTGCTTCATTCCTTTCTCCTCATTCCCATGCCTTTGGGTTTGAAGTTCTGCACTAATTCCCATATGCTGCTGTCACAGTAAAGTCACACCGAGCTTTATAGGGGTTAAGCTCATGTCCCTGCGTGATTTTTATCATCGTAAGCCAAATACAGCTGGATGGGGATCAGAGGCTGCTCTCATGGAACTTTCTGTCTGGACGTCTCAAAGGAACCTTCACGTTAACCATTTACTGTAATTGTTGCCACGAGGATGGCGATTGAATGGCACCAAGTTAAAAATGAAAGAAGAGGACCCAAAACTTAACTTTGAAATTCATGAAATATGACATTTTATCCAAGAATAGTGGATAATAAATCTTGTCAGGCATGCAAGCTTTCGATGTGCGTTAACTTCAATGTAACAAAATGTCCTGAAGTCAACCTATCAGTACTGACATGCTGGAAATAGTTCAGCCAAAACATTAAGAGCAGTTACCTGTTTCAAATGGGAACCATCAGTAGTGTGATTTAAAACTTTCAATATTTTTTATGGCTTTATGGCTCGACTAAGTCAAAAATACAGTGACCCAGGTTATATTGCTTTTCTTTAAAGGCACTTTAAGGGAAATTACTGTAAAATGTGGCTTTTTAACAGTTGAGATAATCGCCATCCTAATGAAAAACCAATGGGCAGAGATGGTATCTGCGCAAAAATAGTTCTAGAAAGCCGAGTTCTGGCTGTAAAAGTGGAAGCGATGTGAAACGATAGACAAGCAGCTAAAAGGTAGCTGGGCTCTTGGGAGGAGAGACGGCACGAAACCGACTTCGAGCAGTGCTGACTCTAAGAGACTGAAATGATGAAGCAGAGGCCCAGCAGAGTTTTGGATATAACTGTCAGTTCACTTCAGGCTGTTGAAATTAACTTCCAGATTAAATCAGTTACCTACTTAAATCAGTTACCTACCAAAAAATGCTATTTGAAATCATTTTGAATATATAGTTGTAATGATGAAATAGCTTTGAATGTACAACTGAATCACATCCCTAAGTGACATTAATCGGAATTTATTGAGCAAATATGACAATTAGAACAGTTGTTCCCAAACAGTGAATCACGAGACACCAATGGGGGGATTGCATTATAATTTCCAGAAATAAAATAAAGTTTCAACACTAATGAATTACATATTTTGGCCATAATTCTGTGTAAACAATAAAAATACATTTCTGAAATCAATGTCCTTTGTTTTTTGCTTCAACCATCTCCAGGGATAACTGGAGTTGAAAAGTTTGTGAACTGCATAAGATGAATAATGCAAAAGACTGATCTGCCATATTATGCAACTACAACTGCAAGGTTGGGGTCATGGTTGGAAAATAATTGTGACTGACAATAGATCTAACTTACCATCCATTATCCAGACACTTTCACATATGAGTAACTACACCACCTCAAGCTTGAGGAAAGGCGTCACTATAGTTTCCTCCTTTTCCTACAATCATCACATCCAGGCCATTTTACTGGCATCACGATCCAGTCAGCTTGCCACAATCAAAACTGCAAGAATCTAATCTGACACAGGCGCTGTGAAGTTGCCTATTTTTAGTCCTTCATTAACAAATCGGGGCCTAATGTAATTGCTTCCCTCCACTGCTGAGAAAAATTAGAAAGCTAATCTCAAAATTACTCTGCAATTCATCCCCAGATATTCACGATGATTGTCTCAATGGAAGAGAAGTAACAGATGTGACCTAAATAGGGAAGGAATTAAATAAAAGAGAAACAGAAAAAATGGGTAAAGAAAAGTAAAAGTCACTTCTTATCGTTTATTCCTGGAAAAACAACAGGCAGCTACAAAATAGTTTCTGGAAATACCACACTTTCCTTTTAAGATTTCCTCCCTCGTATCATTTTTATAAACCTTGGCATGGTGCACCGCTCCGTCCCCTGTCCTCCTTCCCCTCTATTCCAGCCCCTCTGTTGAACTCTCACCTGGCTCCACTCTGCCAGCCTCTTGTTAGTGAAGCTAGCGAGCTGAACGGTCCCCTCTCGTCCGTCTTTTATTTTCGCAGAGCTCCAAGCTTCTTAAAGTCTTGTCGGTCTGGAACACAGAGAAAATGTATTCTCGCCTTGAGACCCAAACAAGAGATGAAGATATACAGGAGACTAACAACATAGGCAGCAGAGGTTATGACTCATTGTGTGAAAATAAAATAAACAGCAGTTTAACAGAGATAACATGATGAACAGGAGTCTATCTTTATGCTTTATCTCCCCCTCAGTTGCCGGTTGCAACATATCTGCAACGATCTTGACCGTAACTCATAAAGCTGCCAGCCTGTTGTTATGAGCCTGTTTCCAAGCCGGCAGACTCCCTCACCAACAGGTGCAGAGACCCAAAGCGCTGCTCATTAACGCAGCTCATTTCACAAGCAGCGGCACACGCTCTTCACCGTCCTGAAGCAGCATGTGTAAAACGGCACATTATCACCCAATTAGCGTGACCCCTGTGTCAGGCGGCTGGTCCCGTTCGACTGCAGCCGCTCCCTCCTCCCCCGCGCCCTCGAACACCACCACTCCTAACAAGAAGGTTTTCAAGTCGTTCATTCAAGAATGTCAACTATTTCAGAGGTCCATCGAGCCGTTTCAGCCGTGAAACATAGTTGTGAATGGGTTTGGTTTGCAGACATATCTGCAGACGGACAGTCGTGTCATTGCACATGCTTGCGTCTTTACACATGCTCGTGACTGGAGGATGCCTGTCCTCAGTTGGCAGGCAGCCATTTACTCATTCATCATGTTAAACTATCCCAGCCTGCCCTGAAACACACTTGCACACTCGCTCTCGGACACACTTGGTTGGTTAAAAAGGCAGAACTTGTAGCTGATTGTAACCGTAGGATAACGTGTGTGGAGTGTTTGTTAGTCATCTGGTGCCATGAGAATCTGCAAAAACCACCATAAGACAATTCCAGGTACCATTGTTGTCCGTCCTGCTTGTTTTAAGCCGCGCTGGCTTTTTCATTCGACAGGAATCACCTTATGACCCGTGGCGATGCACACCGGAGCTCATTTCTTTCCTTCTCCTCTCTGCTGTAATGAAAAGCAGAGGGCTGTTCTGTCGTCAGCTTGTAATAACGCAGCATTAGGTCCACATGGTGCGCTGATAGGCTCATTGTTATACATTCAAAGCCTTGATCTGCACCAGCAAATGTACTGTACAATGCTTATCAACAGAGTTGTTTAACATTTTAGATGGGAAAGCTCTTGAAGCAGCGTGCCTTTGTTTCTAGATGCAGTAATTGGGCAACTTAGTTTTTAATGGATAATATCATTAGATCAGCGTTTGCCGCTTTTCAAATCTTAATTCATTTATGTGTTGTTGTCGTTCACACATAGAAACTCAGATTGATGTTTGTGGATGTGCTGAGCATTGAACTGGTACAGTCATTTAAATACTCACCTTCAACTGGGCAGGAATTTCCCACATTTCCCAAAGGGAACATAACACGTGTTGTCTCATTCAAGTCTCTGTACCTTTTTAAAGTTACATGATAGCAATTTTCTTTTTATTTAAAGTACTTTTATGCAGTTGAGTGGAATCAGTTAGAGATCTGTTTCTGTTTACTGATGCAATAGAAAGAAGTGGGTCGATGGGTTGTTGCTCTTGCACATTAGTGGACATCTACATGAAGCAGAACCAATTCTGTTTGCCCACTTGATTAATTGTGTCCTGTTATGTTTGAATTTGTGTATGTGGCCCTTTTCCTCCATTCTCCAGAAAAACAGAATTTCTACCAAAAATGCCTGATTTTTAATTGCAGGGTTCGTGATCCATCAAAGTTAAATGACAATAGAACTAATACTGCTGACATGTTACGGCTCAATGGTGAGAAACGTGCTAATAGTTGTCTCCGTTTTCTTTGTTTGCAGGGTCTGAGTTTCCCCAAGACCCCAGTGTGCTAGCTACCACTTCATGGAGCACCTCTAGTGATGGTAAATGTGCACACATTAACACACACTCTCAAAAAGTAGGGTTTCAAGTAGTGCCAACACATCCTTGTTTATGTTCATACAACTAAAACTGTTACGAACAATGCAATATGTTCATGGTGCAATCGACACGTGCTGCCTTGAACTGTAACCCCCACATTTGTTGTCTGAAATAACTTTCAATAACATGTTAAAAATGACCTTCTCTGCAAACGGTTACCTCGAGCAACCCAGGCAACACCCATTGTCCCAGCATGGGCCACTGTGGAGGATAATTGATGGAATGAATTACGCGTTGATCTACTCAACATGTGGGAATTCGGCCACAGGTGCACTGCATTTCACTAATTTCCACTGACCTACTTTTAGGTCTCTCTGATGGAAACTCTTCCAGTGGAGCTTCACAATGTGTCAGTGCTTTTAGTGCATCTTCTTACACTGTTTCATACTGTATATTCAAAAGACAAACCTTTCTGCAGATTTTTAAGCCGTATGTTATCAACTTGCGAAGTTTACCTCCTGCTGGACCAAGAATCCCATGTGGGAGGAAAATACAGGACATGTGTTCTGGTGAGGTAGTTGCTTGCAGATGTGCTGCAGGTCATATGATGGAGCTCGTATATAGCAGAATTTTCATGAGGCAGAAAATGCCCATGAAACGATCTTTAACTCTGTGTGTGTTGACAAACAAGTATCTTACTTTGATCTTCCTTTGATTTTTTCCCAAGAAGAACATACTTAAACATCTTGATTAACATTTGTTTATTTCTGAGAATGTATGTAATCAGTTCTTATAGTTTGTCTTACCAGGTTGGTATTTGTGCAGGGGGAGAGCTGGGCACTGGCAAAGGATCCCACACTGAACTAACATTCTCTAGAAAAGTATCACAGTGACATCTACATTGGTCTTTTCTTCTCTTCTGGTTTTCATCTACCTTCGTCCAGCACCTGGTGCTTATCAAGTTTGGATGTGTGTGCTTTCGTATACTTTATGAACAAGTCAAAGTGTCACATACTTTCCACCTGGTCCAAAACCCCTCTAAGGTTTGACTGCTGGGTTCTCTTGCACATGCTTGGTTTTTCAGTTCCTTCCCTTCTTTCATCAATTTTTCCAGTTTTGCAGTCGAGGATGTTCACGTCTCCAGGAATTGCCCAGGTTGAGATCAACGGATCCAGACAGTGGAATCATTGTGGGAATAACTGAGTCACATACGTAAACGTCTCTGGATGTCAACACCGTTGCCCAGAGTGATCAGTCAAATCTCGCCCCGTCCTCAGTTACCGCCACCTATTCCCTCATGAAGACACCGTGACTTGGACGATCGTCAACATGAGACATGATTGATCTTGACCTTTGTGTTTGTGCTCCCATTTTGTCTGGTTTGCTTCATTCATCTCTTGCAAATCCAGCTCTCGCACAACAGACTTTTTGTGAAACAGGCAGAGAATGAAGACAGTAGTTTCTGGATGTGATTGAGCCGTTTAGCCAAGATAATGATTATGGTGAACAATCAGGAAAGTTTGAAAACTCATAAATACAAAGAGGAGCAGTTCCAAACAAATCATAGAGATGGCTTTGGTTTTCCACAACAACACGAAATATGAAAACCTGCTGTGTGAGCACATCCTTATGCGTGCGCAACCATGTGTTCAAAGTAGTGTATCTGTGTGTGTGTCATTTTGAGCTCAGCCCCATGAGTAACATCTGTTTCTTATCTGATGGATGGATGGCGATTGTACCACTTGTTTTGTCTGCAGGCGGGGAATGGTTTTGATAGAGCAAGCAGACTGTATTCAGGTAGCATGGCTCTATCAGTATGCATCAGTAGCAGGAAGTTATCACATTGAAAGAGGCTCTTTATTGGGCTAAAGTCAGGGGTGATGATAGTTAACTGAACTCCTTTTCCTCTGAGGCTCTCCTTCATCTGTCCTTTCTTTTTCGCTTCCTGTCCTCTCTCTCTCTCTCTGCTGGAGAGTGAACCAACTTCGAACCAAACTCACCTTTAACTGTATCTGGCAGTGCTACAGTCCCGTCTCCTCAGTCTATCTACAGAGCATGTTTAGTTAGCTGTGCAGCGGCTCGTGTTTTTGAGCCTGCGTCGTGCTGGGAGCAGCCCGCCCCACTCAGCCTCACTGCTGTGTACGTAATTGAATGTACACATGGATTCAAATATAGAGCTGCTGCTGAAATGAGAAGGTAAAGTGCAGCTCGTCCAGTTCCGAGCTGGGATAATTTGAGTGTGTTGCGGTTGCGTGGGTGTGCGTGTGTTTACATTTGTGTGCTTGCGTGTGAGTGTTTGATTGTACAAAACCGCTGCGAGAAAATGCAGGCTGATGACAGGGCGCCATTTAGTCGCCTGCCACATTAAAGGGACAGTCCGCAGCCTGAGCTTGAGTTCCACAGGGCTCCTGGTGCCAAATACCACAACACTCATCGCGAGACAATTACATACAGAGTGGCTTTGTTACATAGACATTGGCAGGACATGTTTGCTATTAAATCATTCATTGCTCTTTTTCAACATTTCCTCTCGTCTCTTCTGTCCCTTTCTGGTCCCGCTGCTTTATTGTCCGTTATTGCAACAGCTAATGAAGTGCGCTGTCACAAAAGTCCAAAAAACATTTTCATTTCAACTCCACTAATCATACGATGATAAAGTGTCTAAGCTTGTGTGACTTTCTTGCCTTTGGCAAAACACACTTTCAAGAGTGGGTGTGTCCTCATTTAATCCATGAAGTCATCTTGGAGGTTTTAAGACGCCACAGATCACCATCACGTTGACCACCTGGTATTTCCCCGCATGCGATCAACTCCCACTGAGTGCTGTCACTCAACATATATCACAATATATTGCATGATATTATACAGTGAAGTATATGTATAAACCATGAAATTGTTGTAGCTATTATTATTATTTTAAGTATTCTTTTGCACTGTACTAAGCTCATATATAAATATATATATATATATATTACTGCACTTATCACCGTATATTATTATATCACAGCATTTCACTCTACTGTATATATTACATCACCAGTGGCCTTAATATATATATTCTTATATTCTATTCTATTTTGTATTTATTCTGAACTTGGTTTGCTGTCATTCCCAAGTTTTCCCCATTTGAATCGACAGATTTTTATCTTTACTTATCTTAAACGTTGTTGGACTCAACAGGCACATTACGGCAGTGAAATGTTTCGGCATCATGACATCGACTAACAATCAAACTCAGATCAAATTTGAAAAAGACTTCTGAAAACAAACAAGACAGAAATTCAGAAACTGCTGCACTCTCCCTTCTCTCAGTCTCTCCCACACACTCAGACTCACACTGTAGATTGTATTTGTGCTGATGATCACATCAGAGTTTGACCTATAGCCATCCATTATATAACCCTGCTATTACACCATGTAACATTTGATTATTAGATTTGCCTTGATAATCCATTTACAGGGCTTGTTAAAGAAAAACAGCAAACACAGGGGTGTGTGTGTGTGTGTGTGTGTGTGTGTGTGTGTGTGTGTGTATGTGTATGTGTGTGTGGATAAAGCATCAGAAGAAGTTCAGCTTTCTGCAACCCTCTCAGAACAGCAGCCCTGCAACAATAAATTGCTCAGCTCATACACGATGTCTACATGATGTAATGCGAGAAAATCTCTCCCCCACAAGCTCCTAAGTGAAATATGTGTTTTATGTCTACGATTGCTGCACATGTATGGGCGAGGGAGTGGAGGAGTAGGTAGATATGGAGAGACGGGAAAGAGTAGAGGAGCAGAGTGTAAGTGCCGGAGATGATTTTCGTTATTTCGGAATATTTTTCTCAGTGATTCTTAATGCGGTTGAGGTGTTTTACATTAATGTGCTGGAGGTTTTTCTTCTGACTGCTGTGTTTTAATGTGAGGAGACAGGACTGAAGCGAATGAGGTTGTGTGTTTAGAGAAAGGAGGACAGATAAAAAAGTGGGTGAGACGGAGGAGAAGTGAGGGGGAGACTGGTGGTCGGTGGTGGGAGTCTCCTTATATTGTCACACACTTGTTAGTACCACATTGCTGTGTTAAGCCTGGGGTTCTTAGGGAGGACAGTATACACACACACACACACACACACACACACAGGCCGTATGCCAGGAGAAATGTGCCCACATCTCCATTTAGCAGACACATCACAAGCACTTCTACACACACCTCTCGACAGCGTCACCTCTATGGTGACAGAGAACCAAGTAAGGGAGCCAGCATGTTCCAAACCAAATTGTTGGAACAAAAAAACCAGCACCTCAGTTGCACCATGATTAGCAGGTATACGAGGATTGATCATGATTGACTCCTTCCCCATTGCCAGAGGAGTTTGCCTTTCTGACTTCACTTTATATCCAGTCTGTGGGGTCCAACAATTTCTGTAACGTCATGAAAGTAATAATCCAACAACCAACGTCATGCAGCAGCAGTCAGTAACTGAAAGATCATTCTAGACATTTTTACTTGATGAACATAGTTAATCAGCACTAGTTGTTCTTCTTGTCCTGTAGATGTTTATCTCTGTATACCGGCCCGGCCAATCGCCAGGAGACCTGGTCAGGGTGTACCCCGCCTCTCGTCCAATGTCAGCTATGATTGGTTCCTGCCCCTCTTGACCATCAAGGGATAAGTGATATAGGGATGGAAGTCTTTATTCATGGCAGTAAAACCATCGGCACATGGTTCATGTCCTTCATGTAGGAAAGTCAATTTCATCTTGATAATCCTGGAATTTTATTGAGATTCTGTTACTGCAAACTCTCCATCTTTCTGCGTAAGTGTGTGTAGCTGTAGTAAACAACCGGGGATAAACTGATGTATTAGGAGAGAGCGAGACGCGGAGCAGCTTTGGAGAAGACAGCGATGCCCTTGTAGGGAAAACCCTGGTTTGGAAGCAAGACCTGGATCCTTTGCAGTGTTTTAGTAGTTGTGTATTAATCATCCAAAAACCTTCAACCACTGAGGCCACATTCCTGACAATGTTCCTGGACTGATGTGTGATTTCATCAGATGTCTCAAAATCTCACTTTAGGTTATGGAGGGCTGCAGTATTTTAGGAAGAGGAAATATCAGGCATATTAAACGTTGTGTTTTTCAGTGCAGAGAAGATCTAATGAATTAATTTGCTGGGCATATGAACGTTTTAAGGTGCGGGTCTGCTTGTGCCCCTGTTTGTACTCGTCAACCTCTCCAGTCATACACACACTGAAGTCCATCTGACCCATATTTGAGATTCCCCCTGTATGTGCTTCTCCTGCTTTGTTTGTTTTGGCCGGTTGTGTGTAACCAGGAGCATTTCTGCATACCTACGCTTGGTTTTGTGGTCAAGCGAACTTTCCAGCGACATGAACACTGTTTTTCTTGCACATTTAAACTCTTAGGTGGCCCTCCACATTGTTTTGTTTTTTTTCTTGACCACCTCGAAGGAAAAATGCAATCCTGGTGATAATCATGCAAAAAAAAAAAATGTTTTCTTTGTCTTTTTCCTACACAGCCAAAACTTATGTTCTTTCTTTTTCGTTCTTTTTTTTTTTTTCTCTCTACAAACTCTGCACCCACCACACAGGTAGTGTTGCCTCGTACACAAGCCGGGGGAAAACCCTTCTGGCATCACGGAGCCCTGATGAAAAGTTAAATTAGGTGCCATCATAGTGAGAGCCACAGAATAACCTGTAAAACCAGACTTTGAACGTGTGCCTGAAAACACTGAGTTGTTCTACCAGTATTTATGCACGCAGCGGCATGTTATTTAAAAAAACTAGCTCTGACGTTATACTGTAAGTGTTGTAGGATTTATGTCAGCTCTTGGCTTGGAGTTCTTGTTGTTGTTGTTTCCAGTCATCTCTTGATGTTTCTTCCCCCTTGACTTTTTTTATCTCCACCAAGGAGGTTATGTTTTCACCCGCATCCGTTTGTGTGTCTGTGAGCAAGATAACACAAAAACTACTGAATGGATTACCATGAAACTTGGTGGAGGGATACAGGAACTAAATAACTTGGTGCAAATTCCGGTCAGAGGGTGGAAGCAGGGATTTCTTTTTTCGCTTTCTTTAACACTGTGCGACATTTCCCAACATTTTCTCAGGGAATTATTCATGGATCTTGATGAAACAAATGTTTAGGGAACTGATATTTATGAGTGTGTGAAATTTTGTGCAGCTTGATTGAATATTTAAGGGACTGTTGGGCCTCGGCGCACTAATGAGTGACATTTGCATTTTTTCTCCTAATACTGTATATCCTATCGTAGTATCTCATATTTCATCATTACTATGTCTCCAGGTTCCTTATTCATCCGTCTCGAAGCTCCCCTGAACAACATCACCACCTCTCTGGGCCACACGGCTGAGCTCTTCTGTCGAGTGTCCGGCAACCCGTCCCCCACCGTGCGCTGGCTGAAAAACGACGCCCCCGTCGTGCAGGAGCCACGCCGCGTCTCCTACCGCTCCATGCCGTACGGATCGCGGCTCCGGATCCGCAACCTGGACACCACGGACACGGGTTACTTCCAGTGCATGGCCACTAACACCCAGGGCACCGTGTCCACAACGGGAGTGCTGTTCGTCAAATTCGGTAAGAGGAGTTGGAATTTCACAAACGTTCTGCGACGAACAATGACATGTCTCTTTTCTCTGTTGACCTACCAGGGATCTGGCTCTTTCTAGCAACACTAATCTTAGCTGATTCTTGCCTGTAGCCGGCAGCTTGCACAGAGAAAAATCTGGGAGCAATATTGTTTATCCTGTTGTAAAAAAATCCCCCTGTCTTCTTTTCCAGATCCACTCCCTACACCTCTGGCAGGAAGGCCAACGTAAGTCTCTCTTCCTCTATTCATTTTTCTCTCTGTCAGGCGGTTCATGCTGTACTTACCAGGATGAAATAGAGGAGACGCTTTAACAAAAAAAAGTGATTTGTAAGCACTATGCGGATGTGAATTGCAAAAAGGTCTGAGTGTCTTATTTCAGAAATTAGTGCAGTGCCATTCTAAACATGCCTGTTAGGAACAGACCTGTACTGATGCTGCTTCTTAGAAACAACTTGACTTGACACTGAAATGTTTTACAGACTAAACTAAACAGAAAATATAAAACGACTGAATAACAAGGTTATGGTGATGCATGGTGTGATGCGACCCATGGATGTACAGTTGTGCAGCCATGTTTACGACTTGTCATACCTGGTTATTAACTCAGTCAAGGAATTTATGTTTTTGTTTGCATTCATTTGTTAGTTATAGCAGGATCGTGCAAAAACTAATCAGCAGATTTTCATGAAATTCTGTGGAGGGCTGAGACATGACCCAAGAAAAAACCCATAAAGGTTTGGTCGCAAATCTGGATCAGGGTTTCCAGGAATAGTTTTCACTTTCTTAAACATTGCAAGATTTTTCAGAGAATAATTCATGGATCTTAATGATGTTTACAGAACTGAGATCTATGAGTGTGTGCATCTAGTGAATTTGGATGTAGTTTTATAAGGCGACTGTTGGGCCTCGGTGGAGGTACACAGTGTACTGAGCTCCATTCTAATTCAAAATGTATTCACATTGCACCACTGCACTTCCTTAACTGCTCAGTTTGAAGCAGATGGGATGAACACTTCTTAAAATATGCGAGCCACCTACACACGGGCAGACACTTCCTTGCATTTTAGTAAGATGATTGCCACTTGCAGAGAGATTTTTGTGTCCTACACAACTCATGCTCATGAATGTGTCACAAGTTTTATCTAGTGAAACACCAAAATCCCAGAGGATACAAGAATCTTCTCTAATGATTATCATCTATTGTGGGTTTGTTTATATCATGTCCATAATAAGAACAAATGTCATCATCACGAAAACAAAATCCTATAAAATGAACAAAGTTCCCACAGTTGACATGTTGTTTGTGGTCGTCTGACACAGTCTGAAAACTGTAACGTTGTTAAATCATCAAGTCCTAAACTGCATGTTCATTTATTATGACAAAGCCGGACCTGTAATTTTCTTTTTTTACTGCTACAGATCTCAGTGTGGCTGAATGAATATTAAATATCTCTAACTCATCATTGCTCTTCTGTTCCCCGCTGCTGTTTCTGCTCAACCATCCCAGCTCACATGGTTCCCGTTTGAGCACAGACTGTGTACAGTTGGAATGTGGACTGTTAGAGAGCATATGTTGACATCTGCGACACACTATATGGCGTCTTTAAGGCGCTGATCCGCGAAGCATTGGAGAAATTGGCTTAATTTACTTCCAGCCAACTGTAATCAGAAAACAAGACATGATTGAAAATGCTAACATAATCAAAACCTGTGACGTTCATCTAATTCCCGGCCAATAATGAGTTTATTAGAGCGGAATTTAGTCAATTAACTGAAACTTTACCTAGAATCTAAATCTAAAATAAGCCTTGTGTAACAATGACTCACATCTGTCTATGTGGTTGCTGTTATATAACGTTTTATTGTCGCCCAATTAGCTGCCCGCTGCCGGAGTGTACAAGCAAAACCAACCACAGTCCCGATCTCTTTAACACGCATATCAAATTAAAGGGGGCTCTCGACAGCAGCAAATAAAACCAAACAACGCAAAATGTTTTTAAGCATCGAAAAATTATATTCGACTCAAACGTTTACTTGGTCTCTGCGGGAGTAAGAGCGCTGCCCGGATAGGCCCGGTCTGGCGAGTTTCCTTTGCTTTGTTTTGAAGTTTCCTTATGTTGTGTTATGGGATAAAACTCCATGAACTTTCTCAGCTCGTTTGATTCTCGCAGGATCAAACGACTTAAGCTCGATGGTTTTCCCCAGTGACATTATGGCGAGGCTCGCTGCCATGTTCCACGCAGCGTTCTGTGACTCCGAGCTGCTGGCACACAGCGGATTCCAGACACGTACTAAATCCGCCCGCGCACACACACACCGAGACGAGCACATTGCACAGCGACCCACATGTGCACACGTTTTGTTCACATGCTCCTTCTCAACATCTGCTTTCTGCCATTTTTGTTTACGCGATTTTGATTTTTGCTGTTTGACTAAATTACAGCTCGTTTCAAAGACGAGGCAGCTGGAGCACAAAAACATCACAATGCAATTTCTCGGGGGAAATATCAATAAAAAAAAATGTTAGAGACTTCGGTTTCACAATAGTCGTACAGATTCAAAATAAACTATGAATGGGAATCAAAATAACTCACATGTTGACATAAGAGGTCACCATCGACTGTTTACACTGACACCAGTATTACGACTATTGATCCTATTATTCTCAATAAGACTTCCAATGATGACGTTTACATGTTACAGAGAATATTCTGATTATAACTTGCGGCGATGATATTCATGAATTTTTCCAAAAGCGAGAACAGAAGCTTCTCGCCTCATCTTTAATCTGAGGATTTCAACTCACTGATGTGCAGCTTCTACATGTCAAACGCTACTTCACTCTGCGCACGTTCAAATACATTAACTTCTCCTCGTGTTATTTTGTTTCCACGCCAACTTGTAAAGGAAAGTGTTGCAGTCGAGTGAGGACCAGGCCGAGATCTTAAGTCTCATTACAGTCATTACAGACTTCATTTAAACGGACAGGGGCCTCCTTTGACAGCGGTGGAGCTGCGGCGGCGGGCGGATCGTCACTGCTGCTCGTCATTAGTGTCACGGCCGACTCATTAGCTGTAAATTTAGGGTGGCAAACGTCAAGAAGACAAGGTCACCTAATGATGACACATGATGACCTGCGTCTGCTTGACTCATAATGCAGCTGTTCAGACGTCAAAACTCCTGCTTCTCCTGCTTCTCAACGTTTTCCTGGAAAGACATCTGGTGCAGAGGCTTCTCAGATTAGATGAAATGAATTCACCTCCACGGCAACTTCTGTCTTTTTGAGATGAATTAACCACAAATATTACTATTACTAAATTTGGGGAAACGTTTCTCGCCACCCACCTTGTTGAACCTGAACATAACATGAACTTCATATCCTCTGTTTATCTTTGCTCCGGTCTGTGATTTCCATCCCCTCCACGTCGGCCTTAAGTATACACTGTGTGGTGTGCAGGGCATTACAGTGTGTGTGTGTTCGTACGCTCAGGGTTGGGTTTTTTGAGAGTAGCTGCAGGGAAACTCAAGGCTGACATCCTCAAGGTTTTCGAATACAACCCAGGCAGATCAGAAATACAGCGAGGACGGATTATGAGGATGATTGAGATGGACAGAGAAAGAGGGAAGAGATGGTGGAACTTTTTTAAACATTTTTAGATTTCTGCCATTGCTGTTTTAAACACATCCACCTGAGGTTTCAAGTCATTCAGGGCAATTTGAGGCAAAAGTTCCAAGTCTGTGAATGCTTCACTGTAGGATTTTCAGTTTTATTAGGCAAGAAACATTTTCCAAAATGTTGAACTAGTTCTTTAAGTTATTTATTTAAGAGGCTTGGATGCAATTTCATGGAATTAAAAATCTAAACTTCATCGGTACGCCAACAGTTTTTTGGCCAAATACTAAAGATTAGTGCATGTCGTCCAAATACCCCATGGTCCTCTTCTACGTTCTCCTCCCTCCATCCTCCTCCCCCCTCCCTTGCCTCCGTTCTTCTGAGATGTTTTCATAGAGCCAGAACAAACACAGGGTGAGGGGGAAAAAGCGACGCCTGCCAAAATTAGACCCCCAACTCCCCCCAACTCCCCCCTCTCTCTCTCTGTGCGCTGCCACACTTCCTTCATCGCAGGAAAAAAAAGAGAGCAGAAGATGGAGACGGCGGGAGGGTGAAGGGAGTGAAAGAAAAACAGTGTTGGCGAGGAGTGGGAGGAGGATGGTACCATTAACACTCTCGCATGTTGTTCTTTGATGCTCGGGGTCGGCAGCATTCGGGTGCGATTAGCTGCGTTAGCCGACGGGAGGTTTAGCTGTAAGCTCAGATCAGAAGCAGTTAATAAGTCGTAACCCTCCTGCAAACAAACTGTCTTCAAAAAAAAGAGAAGGGGACAGTGTCTTTGATGCAACTATGCACTAATCTCTTTATGTCTCTTTAAAAAAAAGATCTGATTCATTAGTTTCATTAATTAGCTTTGTATTAGACAGGTCAGATTGAAATTCATATTAAACCAGAATTGGCAGGTATACACAGGTTTTTAAAGCACGTGTAAATCTGCAGAACATCAACTTCACAGAAACCTCGTTGTCTTGCCAGTGTAGCATCTTCTACAATATGAAGGGAAAAAATGTCTTGTTCCAACAAGTACACAAGCGTTCATGGCTATTTACACGCCACGAACCTCAGGAGTTAATCACAATATGTGAGAGAAAACCACATGTTTAGTGAAGCATTAATAATTTAGTATCATCTCTCAGCTCATCTTTTTTCTGTGGCTCGGTTGGTGCAGCGGGTTGTTCAGTCCAAGTGTCCTTGGACCCTAAATTTGCCCCTGATGTCTTTGTTGGATTGTGAAAAGCGTGGCTGTGTGAATGGATGAATGCGAGTCACATGCACAGCTCTTTGAGTGGTCGTTAAAAATTGAAAAGCTCGATATAAATGAAGTCCATTTACCATTCTGTTGGTTTTATGGCCTCAGACTCTCAGTGCTCTCATAGCGGTGATTCTGGCCACAGCAGGCGGCCTTTGTCGGTTCTGAAACACTCGTTATACGCTGCCTGCCTAAATATCTCGATACGGATACAGAAATTATGCTGCAAGCGTTTTCCTCATTAACTGTCATTTTCAGTTAAATTTGACCAAATAGAAAACTAGAAAACCAGTTGTGCCCTTAGCTGTGGAGGTTCGTCAGCTGAGCAGCTACACGTGATGGTGGAGACCAAAATCAGAGCTA